CGACTCCAGGATTTCGGGATTGGCATCCATGCATGGATAGTAGGAACCAGTGAGGAAGTATCCTTGAAGTCGAAGTTTCTAGGGAGAAACATAAGGGTGGAATACATGCATGGTTGATTCAGCCCAGAGATAGGTACTACTTACTAATGAATCGGAACATAATAGAAAGAACATTCAGGAACTGTATTGAACATGAGGTCTACTGTGTATGATATGCTGTTATCGAGGACAATCTCCTACCCTGTGGAATATTCATTATATAGATGCATGTCAAGCGCCTCTTGCCGGGCTGTGTTCGGAATGGAATAACATCTCTACGTTAAGGCGGGTAAGGTATGTATCAGCAGGTAACTGGAGAAACCAATGTGTATCAGTAATAGTCGCCGGTTACCATACCGGGCAAATGGTTGCCTTCATCTGCCTGGCGGTGGCATTAAAAATACTGTTTCGCTGATTACCGCGGCCACCAGACCTCTGAAAGATAGAAGAGCATCCCCAGTGACGATACCAGCCATGAACATGAACATGAACATGAACATGTTCCTGCCCATCGCATCGCCCCAACTTGATCATCAGCCAGACCAGACTTATCCGTCTGACTGAAGTCAGAGGAAGTAGGATACTAGGTGGCCTCATCTTTTTTCTTCAATGAAGATTTTGCCTGAATCTCTAACCAGCCAGCCATCCTTCCACTATTTCCCTACGTAAGGTGCTTGGAAGTACTGCTACAACACAAGTAAGTATCTCCGGGTGCACGGCCTTTTCCATGTAAAGAACCCAGTTGCCAGGAGGACCACTACTTAGTGCCACAACCACTCAGAACTTTGGTTGCTTTGGTAGTAGTGGTGCTAAGTAGGATTGTCCGCGGTGGCTCTGCCTCTCTCCTTTGCCTCTCCCTCTCTCTCTTTCTCTCTCTCTCTCCCTCTTTCTCTGTCTGTGTCTCTCCGCCAGCCAGGGGAATTTTTCTCTTGTCGTCACCGGACAGCCTTCTGGCTCCATTGCGACTACTTTGGTCCACTTGGGAATATTTTGTGCGCTCGAGTCGCGCTTCTACTGTTCTGAACAACGGATTGTTTTTCATGAATTAAATTCCTTTGTTGATGCTTTCTGATAATATTTTATTATAATTTATCTTATTTTCCCTTGTCTTTCAAATTTTTTCTATATTTTTTTTTTCTCTTAGCCTTTCCGGGGAAGAAGGGGCTGGAGCCGCTTCCCACAAGTTCACGGCGGGGTTTCTTTGGGCTACACAACGTACCCTTCCACCCTCTCGGTCTCTCCCTCTCTCCCTCTCTCTCTGTCTCTCTCTTCATCTCCCCTCGTCGTCCTCCTTCCCGCAATTGCTCCCCCTCCCTCTGCCTTCCACCTTTGCGACACCATGGAATGGCAACCGCAGGACGATCCATTGAGGCAGCTGGCTTGCTGCCTCAAGGATTCCCTTAATCCTTATGATCGCCCCCTCCAAAAACAGGCCGAACAGGTGTGTCCTCGCTGTCGCTTTTCCCCCTCTCTCTTAGTCCGCTTTCTTTCCCGACTTTGAGTTTTTTTTTTTTATGCTTCCCCTCCCCTCCATCAACTTCAACAGAATGGCTATTTCCGGAGCTTCGCGGTCGCTGCAACAGCACCTATTCTACCTCGCCTTCTGTTTAGCTTTGCTCTAGGACCTATCTTTCGCTTTGAGAAAAAAAATATCGGCTGACCGGAGCTCTCTTTCTGCCGTCTGATAGATGCTAGTACAAGCAACTTCGTCGCCGGATTATGTCAACTACATCACCTACCTCTTCAGCACCCCGCAGGCTTCTCCGGTGCTGGGAATGGATAGCCAGACCTACGACATGGTCCGTTTCGCCGCTGCCATGAACCTCAAGACCAAAATTCACGTTGCCTACAACACGATCCCCCAACCTTGCTTGACCTATATCCGATCGGCCACCCTGCTCGGATTGCGCGATGAGAACCCTCATGTGCGGAAGTCGGCCGGAACAATTATCACAGAATTGGTGCAACAGGCGGGGCTATTAGCCTGGCCTGACGTGCTGCAGGAGCTGCTGACCCTCGTCGAAAATAGCTCCGGTGACATCCCGCCCATGGCCCAGGAGGCTGCTATGTCTGCTCTTTCCAAGGTTTGCGAAGATAACCGCAAGATCCTCGACCGTGACTACCAAGGACAATGCCCTCTCGATGTCATCATCCCCAAGTTGCTCGAATTCACCTCGAACCAGAGCTCCAAGGTCCGCTCAATGGCCCTCGGCACCATCCACGTCTTCCTCCCGCACAGACCCAAGGCCCTGATTGCTTCAATGGATCTGTTTTTGTCGCAATTGTTCCAGCTCGCCAATGATTCGAGTACCGATGTTCGTCGCACAGTGTGTCAGACTTTCGCGCAACTGGTGGACTTCTCCCCCGAGAAGCTCATCCCACACATGGAAGGGTTGGTCAACTATATCATCATGCAACAGCACAACCAGGAGGACCCGGAGCTTGCGCTTGACGCCGCTGAGTTCTGGCTTGTCGCGGGCGAGCAGATCAAATTGCAGCAGCCCTTGGCTCCACACATGTCTAAGATCGTCCCGGTCTTGCTCCAGAGCATGGTTTATGATGAGGATGAAGCCATTAGGTTGACGGGCGAAGGAGATGATGCCGAGGACGAAGACCGCCAGGAAGACCTCAAACCACAGTTCGCCAAGTCCAAGAGCGGTAAATTGGATATGTCCAAGTCCGGTCAAGCGAACGGAAACGCAGCTCCCGAGGAGGAAGACGATGACGATCTGAGTGAAGGCGAGATCGAGGATTCCGAATTCGGAGATGATCCCGAGGACGAATGGACGCTCAGAAAGTGCTCCGCCGCCGCGTTGGATGTCTTCTCGAACGTCTATCACGACCCGATCTTCGAAATCATTCTGCCTTACCTGAAGGAGACCCTCCGCCACGAGCAGTGGCCCCATCGCGAAGCTGCTGTCTTGACTCTGGGTGCTGTTGCAGACGGTTGTATGGATGCGGTTACGCCTCATCTCCCCGAGCTCGTTCCCTACCTCATTTCCCTGCTCAACGACGCTCAACCTGTGGTGCGACAGATCACCTGTTGGTGCCTCGGCCGATACTCCGAATGGGCGTCACACCTGGGAGACCCGTCGGAAAGAGCGCGCTTCTTTGAGCCTATGATGGAGGGTATCCTGCGCAGAATGCTGGACGGCAACAAGAAGGTTCAGGAGGCGGCTGCCTCTGCCTTTGCAAGCTTGGAGGAGAAGTCGGACGCGAACTTGATCCCCTACTGTGAGCCCATCCTTCGACAGTTTGTGCAGTGCTTTGGAAGGTACAAAGACCGGAACATGTACATCTTGTATGACTGTGTCCAAACTTTGGCCGAGTGCGTCATGGGGGAGCTGGCGAAGCCTCAACTGGTTGATATCCTTATGCCTGCTCTCATTGATCGCTACAACAAGGTCTCGGATCAGTCTCGGGAGCTGTTCCCGCTCCTGGAGTGCCTGGGATACATTGCGGCGGCCTACGGCGACGCCTTTTCTCCCTTCGCCACTCCTCTCTTCCAGAGATGCATCAAGATCATCTACGAAAACCTGCAGGAGTACATGGCATCTGTCAACAACCAGGCCATCGATGAGCCTGACAAGGACTTCCTGGTGACGAGCCTGGATCTTCTGAGCGCGATCATCCAGGCGATCGATCCGCAGAAGAGCGGCGAGTTGGTCGCCAACTCCCAGCCCCGGTTCTTCGACCTGCTCTGCTTCTGCATGGAGGATCCGAACTATGAGGTCCGTCAGTCATCGTATGCTCTGCTGGGTGACTGTGCGATCAACATCTTCCCTCAACTCGAGCCCTTCATTCCTAACATTATGCCCACTCTGATCAAGCAACTGGATCTGGACCAGATCCGGGATGATGATCGTCACACTGGATTCAGCGTTCTCAACAATGCCTGCTGGTCGTGCGGAGAGATCGCCGTGAACGAAAAAGCCGCGCTGGCTCCGTATATGGAAAAGCTGTACCAGGGGCTTTTCATCATCATCAACAACGAGGAGATCATCGACTCGGTGAACGAGAACGCTGCGATGGCGCTGGGTCGGCTTGGTATCTGCTGCTCCGATCAGCTTGCAGCTCGTCTGAATGAATACGCCGGAGTCTTCTTGAAGTCCATGAATAAGATTGAGTTCACGCGCGAAAAGGCATCCGCTTTCCTCGGATTCAATCAGGTGGTGATGAAGAACCCCGCAGCCATGGAGTCTTGCCTGGTGGACTACTTCCAGGCCATCGCTGCATTCCCCACCAAATCGATGAACCAGGAGGACTACCGTGACATTCAGACCTCATTCCAGCAGGTGTGTAACCTTCTCTTTCCCTCATATCTTTCAAAACGTGTAGCTGACTCGAATGATGATGCAGGTGTTGCAGGGATATAAAAATATGATACCCAATTTCGATTCATTCCTGTCGCAACTTCCGGCCCATGTTGCTCAGAAGCTTCGTTCTGTATACCAGATTTAGATCTATATGTTTGTCATGTTAATGTTTCGTTTGAACGCAAAATTTCATGGCGAAAGGCGCATAAAATTGCATTTCCTTTTCCTTCTCCCACGCCGGCACCTGGCTCGGTGGTTGTCTTCTTCCGATTCCTGGCCGGGATCAAGGACCTTTCTCCGGGCGGAGGGAGTATGGTTGAGAACACCCCGTCTGATGTTCAAGCCTTGATGTGGCGTGTTTGGAATCTGTTTTCATTCGACTGTGCGTGGATCGCCGTGTCGGGGTCTGCATAGAGGGAGGGCTAATGGGCTGGCTGGACCGTGGGCAACCAAAATAAAAATAGGGACAAAACGAAAAGAGCAAAAAACGGATGGACATGAACCCCTGGGATAGTATAGCTCGGGACTATATAACCAGGATGAAGAAAGGGCAAGGGGAAATGAACAATGAGACATGCCTATCGATCCTGTACCCTTTTTATTCCCTTTTTTATTTCTTTTATTTTTTTTTTTTTAAGATAGACTAGTAGAATAGTATATTAGATAGGATAGTCTGATGCACGCAGGAGGGTCGGCTGGCACCTGCTGTGTGTTTTTCAATCTGGCGTTGTTCTTCTTCTTATTTTACCCTCATGAAGTGAAGTTTATTTTATCTGCAAGTGATGATGTGGGGGACATGGTCTATATATCTACACGAGTGATGTATATAAATTGAGTTTGACATCATGATCGACAGACAGATGCCATTTACTCAGTGATGCAGCCAGTAGCTACGTAGCTAGCTAGTTGGTCCGATCCACATGACAGTATCAACAAAGAGCAAACAAACCTACTACTAAGTACTTACTGAAGAACAAAATACTACAGTACATTTCTTCATTCTAACCTGATGCCTATACTCATTCCTACATCATATTTTCTATAAATTGTGTCCTACATAACCCACACTTGACTTCACTAGTAGTACTTAGTTGATTGTTGATTAACACTAGTTATCTCCTATGTCCGACATTCGGATCCGAACACCCTGGTCATTTTGAATCTCTTAATCCCTGCACCTCCGGGCACCCTTAAAGCTTTAGCGTTGCAGCATACCCCAGTCGGTCTGGAACAAGTCATATCCATTTATCCAGCGCAGCGCAGCACAGCGCACAGTCACTTACACATTCTCTGGGCAAGGCTACCACCACTACCATCATCATAGTCATGAAAAAGCACACATCGGCCTCGCCGATAGGATGACTGATGTCTATGGAACAACAGGATGTACGACATGACATCAACCACTACGTCAGATATTTTTCAATAATTTCAGTCAGATATATCCCTGCAATATAGCTGGCGGGTTCTTGATTGATTGGGTGATTGGTTCATGCGACTTGTTGCATGTTGCATGATGAGCGGCAAATAGCATTTCTAGGAGGGGACTCAGACAGACAGACAGACAGACAGAAAGAAAGAACTAAATAAAAAGAAATGAGAGAATTCAGACATGGGATAGAGTACAGTAAGCACTATGTAACAAAAGAGGTGTTTGCTCCTTTGGGGGTTTCCGCTTCTTCTTCCATCTTCTGTGGAAGGTTCCATGCAGGTAAGTGAGCAGGGGGGTGTGTTTTGTTAGCTTGGGGATTAGTTAGTAGTTAGTTAGTTGATTTAGTTGACTTGGGGGGATGGATAGATGGAAATATGGATTTGTCAGGTAGTGAGGTAGTGAGATGGCATCATGGATGGCGCGGTATGGCGGCTTACTCTTCTAGACTGATAAATTGCTTCTTGACGAAGTAACCAATTGATTCGAATGGAACCATCAACTTCAGCTACACACTACTAGATCCGTTGATTGTCTAGTAGGCTAGAAATGGATTGATAAGGCATAGGTAATCATTCCCCATCATGTACGTACGCCATTTAGGAGTAGTCAGAGTAATTGACTCAAGTATGACTCCTACCCAATCAGGGTATCTTCGGCGAGGGCGAAAATGTTTCGGCCGCTAAAATCTACAAGTACTGCAAGTGTATTTTTTTGTTGAGCAGGTTTTTTCGGAGATTAGCCATTGCGCCGAGACTAAGTACTATCTCTGTCTGTCTCTCTCTTTCACTTCCTCTAGAACAGACTACTTCTGTGTGTTGTACTGTAGGAATTTAGTCGAGTATCGGCTAATGCATTGTTGGGGGGTTTTCCTGGTCATACCCATACTAGACTTAGTCTTCAACTTAGCTAAGGCTGTACTCTGTACTACCAAGTTCAAATGAGGCTGTGTGGCCAACTTTTTTTTTTTTGTTTTCCTTTTTTGTTTTGTTTTTCTTCTGTGTACCCATTTCCAAGCACGGCGCAGTAGTGGTGGTTAACTTTCCCATAGACGCGCCCGACGGGCTGGATCCTGGGGCTGGAATGATGGTGATACTGAGCGAAATAAAATCATCACTGGTGGGTGATCGATCCTTCAGGCAGGCCACGAGGGAAACTGGACGAGTTATTGGGTTCTGACATGATTGATCCTGGGCCGCGTGTGAATTTGGGGGCTAGTTTTGGGTGGCAGTTGTGAATTAGTTAGTTGGTTTAGTTAGTTAGTTAGTCGCTTTAAATTTGTTTTTCTCTGTCCTGCTCATGCTGATGCTGAATATCATCACCATCTTTCTTTTTTTTCCCCTGCTAATTAGATGTGTATTATTTGATTTGTATTTATTGATTTAGTTATTTTAATTTTTCCCTTAAAGTTGGCAGATCCCATTTCCGGGTTAGTGGGAAAAACCTGGACTCCTCCCGCACTAACCAGATGCGGTTGTATCTGGCGAGATTGAAAAGAGACAAGACTGAAAGAAAAGAATGAAGACGGCGGATCTGCCGAGCCCAGCGCCTGTCTGTGACTGGCCCGCTTCTTCCCTGTTCTGGTCACCCCGTCCAAACTGATGCGGAGAATGGCTATGCTTTCGCCATTGGCTGGTCGGAATCTGGGATCGGGTTGCTCCGACCGACAGTTGCCTGACTGGGTCTTAAGGAGGTGCTAACTGGGCTAGTCTTGACTAACCTCTGTGACCCCGTGATCGAGGGTACTTTGGACCGATGAATCATTCAATCAATCAATCAATCAGTCGTCTTCTTCAAAGGTACTTACACAGTACACCGAGTACGGAGTAGGTATGGAGTATACTGTGTACTTGCTCTTGTTTACTCCAAGTTGGTGCGGCAGTCGGTCGCGATCCATTATCTAATATTATCTATCTCCGTCTTGCTAGGAGAGCTAGTAGTTGATGGGAGCATCGTCCCAACGAACCATGGACGCTTTCCTGAAGATCGTTTCAAATTTAATTTTGACGGCCAAGAAGGGTCCAGCTGCTCCTTGCCAGTCCGCCTCTTGGTATTCTACTAGTAGTGTACTAACCAGCTAAACAAATAACCTACAAAACATCAGTCTCATCGTCCCCTTCGTTTCTCCCTCGAACAGGGATGTGAGTGCATCATCCCTACACTACCACCCCCCTCCCCCTCCATCATCACATGGCATATGCTCGATTTCTTCGGGATCTTGGGAACTTTGTCGCGATCTCCGGGACGAAAACGTGGCAATGAGGCTTTGTGCGACGATGCATGCAACCAGCCAGCCCCCTTCCATCGCTCACCCCTCCCCTTACCCCCCCTCCATCCCATGCCTCCATGGCTGATGCAGGTCGAGCCTCTTTTTCCGCTGTCAGGCGGGCTCTAGATTTTAGCTTAGTTGAAACGACCCGAGAGAAGACCGATTATCGAGAGAAATTGACTGGTGGATTCCTGCTGCCTCTCCTCCAACAAGGTTTCGGCCTCAGACCTTTTTTTGCCCACTCTTTTACAGTCTCAGCCTCCCCGTGACCGTGGACCCGGCCCGCAGCCCCGGATGGTTTGGCACCATCAACCCTGGCTCTGCTTTAGTTTCTTTGGGTCATCTTCAGAGTTTCGATGGGTCCGGTGGATGACGGTTGTTGTGTGGTCGGACCAGATTGTTGGTCCTCCCCCACTAAACTGTGAATGTCCAAGCGTGGGCGAACTAAATAACGGAAGTTCTTCTGGCCTCTCTCTATTCCCTAGTAGTTAAGTCTAGTAGTCTACCAGCGTTATCCATCAGCGCCCTCTCTCGAATCCTGGCTCTAATCAACACACTAACAATGCTGGTCGTGGAGATTTCCCTTTAGCTTTATTCTACTTTAACTTTACCCTTCAGACCGGTATCGCCGCCGTTCTTTGTTTTCTCTTTTTTTTCTCAAAAAGAATTAATTTGTTTTCTCTCTCTTAATTATTTTTTAATTATCCCGCTCAACCGTTCTGTAACCGGCCAGATTACTTACTTTACTTCCTTACTACCACTAGACTAAATACGACTAATCAATCGCCATGCCGTCCAGCCCTGCTAGAGTTTCCCGTCTGATGAAAGAAAAAAAGAAAAAAGAAAAGAAAAGAACGGACAAAATCACCGAGAGTCTGGCTGGACCACGAAGGAATTCAAGTATGACAGCTGACGCTGTTTCATCCGGTCGATTGGGAAACCGACGTCTTGCAAGATCACATTGGCTTCCGTCCGTCGAGGCTGAAACCGTGTTACTTAACTCTCCGTAATCGTTCTAAATCCAGAAAGTTGCAGCATGTGGACCACAGAAGCTCTCTGTCATACAGAAGAACTTCGCCCGGGTGCGGTGCAAATGGAGTGCGTTTAGAAAAGAAGAAGAAGAAGACGATCTGTTTCTCCGTGTTACAGATATCTTAGACTATCGGCTGAGGTAAGGCGCCATACCCATGCCACGTCCCACGTCCGTCCACACAGCTGCGCCTTCAAATCCTCACGGTGGATCGCGCGCGTCTATCATAATCGACCACCGCCCGGGTTCCCTCTCTTCCTGTAACTAGATAACTCTCCAATCGCAGCCCCACTTGATGCTATGCAATGGAAGGTCGGGTTTTTTCTACGAAAGGAAGGCCTAAGCTACCAGGATCCTCTAAACTAGTAGCGAGGCTCATCTTCCATGCTTCCTGTCAGTCGTTACGTTGGTTCAATCCTGCGTTGAAAGGAGGGCACCCGCCCCCCACCACTGTCCTTTACACAGTAGTTAGATACGTAGTAGGGGGAAGGGGGGGCTTGCTTGCTTTACAGCCTCGATCCCAAAAACTTTAGTTCGGCCGGGACTAGACTAAACCTACCGAGCAGCGCGCCAGGACCCAAGACTAAGGATGATGATGGACGCCTTTCCAGCAGGGCAAAAGTTGAATCGGGGTCTTGGGGGGTCTTGGCCGGTGACTTGGGGAGTTTGTCATCGCCTCAATGTCAACTGATAGGCAGGAAGGAAGATGAAGAAAGGTATCTCTCTGCAGGTTTTCTGAAGGTTGTACTTATTGTCCATACCCCCGCCTCCCCCCCCTAGTCCCGCGGGTCGGATACTGCATGGCTTGTCCTGCACCGTTACACAGGGTCTTGCTCGGCAAAAGAGCAGGATGGCTTGACTAGCAACCCCTGGACACAACCACCACCTCCCCGGCGCGCGGCCAATCACCGAAATGAAATCCTGCAGATTGGAATTCCATCTGGCGCTTTGGTCGGCTGTCATGGCCAGATTCAGAGTCCTGCTGATGACGTCCTGATTGTAAAGTAAGTCAAGTTGTGCGCCCGTAAGGTATGGATGGATAGGAGTCGAGCTTGTGAAAGATCGCATCCCAAAGTCTTTCTATCCTTGAACTGTCGGCTATCTACGCAGTCCGCGCTTGAGTCATGAATCTCCTTCGGTGCCTATTAAGATCAAGGTAACCGCGACAGGGTGGTGACTGTGATGACCCGCTGCAAGTATCGAATACCCACCCTGGTAAGGGGAAATAGTCTCCCAACTGCTATCAGAGGCGCCAGAGGGAT